TATAATTAATAGCACATAATTTAGTATATATATTAAATTGTGTAAAAGTAAGAGAAAATATCTGAAAATTTTATATTACACCAATAAACTTAGTAAAGTTTTATTTTAATTATTTCAAAATAACTAAATTTTTCGCAACATAGATATTACGTTTCTTTAAAAAAATCTTAAAGTAGTATTAAAATTATTAATAGTATATATTAAAAATATAAATAACAATTGATAAAATAAAGGATAAATACTGACATTTTCCTTAGAGGTATTGTCCTATAATAAATTTTATTTTTAAAATGATTTATTTCTCTTATCAGAAGTGATATTATGCCAGACTGAGGTGATCTTTATTTATGGTAATTTTTTAATTTAATGTATGTCAAGTGTCGAAGCTTTTGACATTTTATAATATTGGCTTTAATAAAAGATTTCACCATAAATACAAACATAACATTGATTTTTATACTCAATGTAAGATTCATAACTTAATCACTGGATTCTCCACTTATTAAACTAACAAATATTTTGAATGCACTTAAAAAACTGAGGCCATCAAATACCAAAAAACGAGGGATATTATAATTAATACTTGAATATATTTATACCATGCAGCGTCAAATACAGTGAGTACGTAAAGTGCAAGGGAAATTAATATTATAAAAGAAATTATTTGTAACGTTATCGAATGTTTCTTTATAAAATTTTTAAATCTTTTAATTGTCGACAAATCATCGTGTTGAGATGGTGGGGTTTGTATTCTAATGCCCGTAATTAAGTCATTCTCAACTTGGGTAAAATGACCCGTTGAATTTCTAATACCATCATTGTTTGTTTCGACATCTAAAGGGAAAGATAATGTTACAGACTCATGTGTATAAGCTAAAACATTTAAAAAAAAAACAATTGCAAACATAGGGGTAAGTTGAACCAGTTATTTATAATTTTGAAAAAGTAATTATCCTTTTTGATCATGTATTTTTAAAAAAAATTTTAAAAATATAATTGTTAATTAGTTATTTTATTTTTTTAAGATTTGAAATAATCAAGTAAAATAATAAAAAAATAATTTTGATAAAAATTCTATTTTTAATTTTTGTACAGTTGTAATTTGTGGGTGTATATGTAAGTAACTTTAAAAAATATATTTTTAACAAATTTTAACTTCAAAAATTTTTAAATAATTTACAAATTATTCGATTATGATCGATTAAAGTTTAATTAACTGTAAAAATATGTTTAGAACAAAAGTGATATAAAATCTCCTTTTTAAAAGGGCAGCGTATGATAGCAGTTTTAAAAAGTAGTATAATATCTACTGTTAAATAAATAAATCAAGTAATTAAAATAAGAATACAGCTTAAAAATAGAAAGTATAAAGATCAATTTATAAAAACATTAGTTTATAATTTTTGAATTTTTTTTAATCTTTGAACAAATCATATTGTAAATTATTTAATACAGTTTTTTAATTTTTAAATGTTAATATGCTCGTTGAATAAAAAAATGGGTTTATACATAAAAATTATTTAAAGATGTTTCTCAAAATATATTAATGTGGTAACCTCGAATGAGGTGACCAAAACAAAAGTATTGCTTCAAGAGGTAGCAAATAAAAGTGTGTTTGTTGTAGCTAATATTTTTATTATTTCTATTATTTATCTAAGTAAATGCTTTGACGTACTGTCCTTCTCTTTTTTCATTCATTTTGTATGTGTATACTTCTTTTAAAATTTTTTGTGTATATAAAATAAAATTTAGAAGTTCATTTTAAAAAAGTTTTTATAAAAAGAGAAAAATATAAAAAAATATGTGGTGAACATCAAATTAAATCTGGCCTATTTGAAAGAACACTATAAAATGACTTTATTTCTGCAATTCTAAATTTTTTACAAAAAAAAGCTTATTTTATGTTCACAATCTAGAAAATCAACTTACTTTAAATTGGAACATTTGCATAAAACATAAACATATCTTAAAATCAAAAATAAAAATTTATATCAAAATTCAAGCATTAAACGACTTAAATATAAATTTAATTAATTAAGCTTTTCTTTACTTCGTTACAATATAAAAATTCTAAAGAATTAAATTTGACATAAAAACGTCGTTAAGTAAATTTATATTAAAGTATAATTAAGAATTTGATACTAATAATTTAAACGCCGTTACGACTAAAAACAAATATTTCCTATATTAATTACAAACATATTATTAAGAGCTCTAAAATATTTAAAGTAAAAAAACATAAATACAGTCTAAATCCAAGCATTGTTTAAAGATAATATCTTGGTGTATGTAGCAACTAAGCAATTTTAATTTATACAAATATTTTTAATTTATAAAGAATCCTCGATGTTGAATTAGTAATATTTCGAAAGCGACTTTGAAAGCCTGTATGTATACCATAAAAGTTTTAAAAGACTAAAACAATAATAGGTCAAAAAAAGCAAAAGAACATGTTTTTAAATGTCATCCCTTTTTTTAAAAAACTCCCTTATTTTAAAATTTTACAAACAGAAGAAGAATATGCTCAAATTTAAGGAGGTTTTAAAACTTGAATAATAGCTAAAGAATACATAAAATGCAAAGAAAACATAAAGTTAAGTACATATAACAAGGTTATTTTTAAAACAAGTATTTGTAAAGCACGCTATAGTATTTTAAAAAATACAGTTTTTGCAAAGAATAAAATGATGCAAAAGCTTTATTAAAGGTTATAGAACTCTTTTTAAGTAGTTTGCATGATAGATTTATATCAGTAATTACAGGGCCTCCCAATGCAACGATTCCCCGGATAATATTGCTTTTCAATAAAATAAGAATATTTTATTAGGAATGCAGGAGATATTCTCTTAGGTGGTAAAAAAAACATAGTCGAAATAGATGAAAGTAGGTTCTGCAAGCAAAAATGCAATAAGGGACATCACGTAGAAGGAGAGTGGGTTTTCGGAGCTGTGGAACGAGAAACAAGAAACATATTATTTATGTTTGTAACAATAAAAACTAAACTAATTTTAGATAAAATAACTTTTACCCGAATTCATTAAATACTATTATATATTCGGATTGTTGGAAAGTGGCGTGCTTGCCAGGAATTGTGCCTATGGCAAGAAAGCATTTAATGATGTTACGGGAAGATTCGTAAATTCCCAAGTTAAAATTGTTTTTGTTATAATAAGTTTAATTTGTATATATGTTGCGGTGACTAAAAGATGTGCGGTGATTAGAACCATTTTTACTCATATTTTTTAATTAATTTTCTTATTTATATTTATGTTAAACTAATAAACATAATTGTTTTAAGAAATAAACCAATACCTAAATTAAATCACTAATATGTGACGTTTAAAATTAAAAAATAAATTTTTTGTTCATTATAAAAATGTGGTATGAGAATTATAAAACAGAAAGCTTATTGTGATTTAGGAAAATACTATAAACAACATAACACTGTTTATCATTTTAAAGAATTTGTAAATACTGAAAATTCAGTAAAAATTCATACTAATACTATTGAAGGTATTGGGTAGCTGTTAAAAAAGATGTATCTTTTAGATGTAGAACATTCTCTCGTATTAGAATATATTTGTTACGTTTTATGTTAAAAAGAAATAAGAATAATGAGACAAAGTTAATTTCGCATCTAAATTTTTCCCTGGAGCAATAATATGAATAAAAAAATTATTCAAAAATTAAATATTTTTTTTGATTAAACACTATTTAAATTTATTAAAAAGTACTCAAAATAACAATTACTGTTTGTTTAGTAACTCAAATTTTTTTTTAAAAAATTTTAAATAGTTAACACAACAACCTGTTCATTAAAAATTAAAAAAATGAATATTTTTTTAAAAAAGGGAATGTCATTAAAAAACGGGATTTTTTGCTTAATTTCCTCCAATAGAATATAACACGAAAAATGAACAAGATTATTTATATGTTATTGATGATCACTAAGCAAATAAGATGACAATATTGTCATTAATAAATTTTTAACTACAATACAAATATCAATATTTGTATACATCTCAAGATAATTAAGATTTGTTAAATAAAAAGCTTATTTTAAATTTTTATTCAAACCCGTGACCGTACAACCGGCCTACATTCCCAAAACCTATACATTAAAAGACAAAGAATAAAAAAAATTATATCTGCCAGCAAAATAGCACTAAAAAAATACATAGTTAAGTTACGACCGCAGCACAGTGAAAATCCAATGCAAAATGCAGAAACTAAGCCAACAACTACAAATAAAAAACAGTACACGTACATAACACCTCTATTACAAAAAATGTCTATTCTTGGCTCATACATTAAGGCTTGTGTTCGAACAGCAGCGTCAGTTTGATCAATCCTTTTAATATGATCTTCTAATCCTCCTTTAATAGTTCCTTTAAGTATACTTAGTAGCGTAAATATTATTGAAAACTGGCTTAACTTCATGTTGGGGTAAGCATAAAGATTTTAAATTTTAATTAATTAAACACCATTTTTGTAAAATTTTTTAAAAAAGCCGCAAAAGTAATTTTCTAAAATTATAACATTTAATACAAATTTAAATAAAATAATACCTTACAATAAAACAATTTAATTACTGACAACCTTTTGAATATTTTTAATTAAAATAATTGTAATTAATAAGAATTTTAACAGTATTTCACATTCAAACAGATTTCTATTTACACAATGATACTAGTCATTTTATTGTTTAAATATCTTTATTTAGGCATATTGTTTATATGTTTTAAGTTCAGTTCTATAGCTAATTAGGAGAATTTTAACCAGTTCTGCATGCTTTTTGATATACACCGTTTTAAAAAAATTTTACCTTTATTTTAAAAATTGAAAACAAAAGAAAATGTAAAGTATTTAAAACATAGTTTTTTCTTCTTTTCAGACATTTTTAAAAAATAAGTGGACAATTATTTTTTAATGTATTTAATAAACAAATCGATGTACTTATTTCGCAATTAATTAATTTATTTTTCAATTTTCTTTTAAGTATGAAAAAGAGAAAGTACTAATAATTTAGACAATTTAGGACATCTATCGTTCCTAAATAGTATAAATCTTAAAAGGTGAAAATCAATTAACCTAGAAGTTTTACATTTTACAGGAAATTTTCTCTTTACAACAGACCAATTTCCTTCTAGGCTATTTGTATGTATGCATGCTACCATCTGCGCTATATCTAACAAATTCTTTTGAATGATTTACAGTACAATGCTTATAAAAATGATTACCTAAATTTCGGTAGGCATTCCAACAGTCAGAACACACAACAGAATTTTTGTCTATTGACTTAAAAATAATCTCTTCTAAAACTTCCCTACTTTTTCTTTCAACCGGAACTAATAGTATATTTCTTGTAACCCATTCTACAGCACCAAAAACCCAGATTCCCTCAACAGAATGCCCTCAATTATACTTACGCCTTTTAAATTTGCTTTTATTTGTTTTAATAATTTCCCTTCTCCTCATAAAGATAAGTTTTTAACATAATTACCAAATATGAACTTTTTATTAAATTTATTTATCATTAAAGACAAAGATGTTACAGAAATAGAAGCAATACTCCTAATCAGGTTTACAGAAACATTATTTAGAAACATATAAATAATTTAAAAAAAAGTAAGGTAAGATACTTTTAAGTCTTGAAAAAAAGTATTTTTAAAAATATTATATCTGTATTTACAAATTTCGTCAGTGCAAATAACATAATTATTAGTAGATAAAACAATTGTTTCTCCACATCTTAAACATCCCTTAGCTATTATAATGTCTCTAAAAAAATCAAAAATATTTAAATATTCTTCTTCGTATGCAATATTTAAAAATAAGGATAAAATTTTTTTAAAACAGTGTATATCGAAAATCGTGCAACACAGGTTAAATTGACTTAAATAATTATATTTATGTTTTGTTCCAACATTTAGCGATGAACAATAAAGTTGTTTTTATTTTCAGAAATAAGGAAAAGTATGGCATACACAGTTAGTGAAGAAGTTGTTGAAGATAAGAAGGTTAAATGAATACAGCGAGGGAAAGTTGTTATTAACATTTAGATTGTTTTTTAGGAAAGATATTAAAGATTAAATGATAGCTCAGCTTGTTGGTCTATAGCTGAATGAACTACTGATGCGATTTGAGGTGAGATTTTAAGCAATATTATGCTTAAAATAAGTTTAGAAAGGCTGGCAGCTCTTAATTATGCGGGGATCGATACTAAACAAGTTGAATATAATGGCAGCGTTAGCAAGAAAGGAAATGTTTTAGAGCAAGTGTTAATAGCCTTTGCACAACATGGACTGCTGAATAAACTGACAAATATCGTGCTTATTAATAATAAAAAAGGTGGGCATACATAAACTTATATTTATAATGCGATGAGAAATATTAACATTACAAATAAACAATTGTGGGTCCTAGCAAGGCCCTAAAATGATATAATAGGAATTTATACAGTAAGAATTAACGATGGTACGCAAAAACAAAGTTTTTATAAAGATGAGATGCTTTGTTTGCAATAAACAGAGACATATTGTTACCCAATGCAAATATAACTCTTTTTAGAAAAAAGAAAATAATATTAGGCAGGTTAATGAATCCGACAGAATTTAAAAGAGTCGGTCGGGTGAGAAATAGAAGGAAGTAGAGGAAGAGTTTGATAAATTTATTTTAATTCTTTTTTGAAAACATAGATGTTAGAGGGGCAGCAGTAAAGAAAGCATCTTTTTTTGAGGAGTTTAAATTTTAATACTTTAATAGACACAGGGGCTGAAGTCAATCTGATCAGACTAGAATATTTACCAGCAGGTACAACGTTCAAAAAAATCGAGTATACAGTTATAAGCTGTAAATAGATCGGTACTTGGGTCCTTGAGCAAGATATTCTTGAATTTAAAGTTAGATAGCTATGTGTTTAGGGACAAACTTTTTGTTACAAGATACATTAAAATATTTTGTATTATAGGATGTAAGCTTTTTAACAAATAAAAAATTTTATTAAATTTTGTCAAGGAAGGGGTATTCTATTGAATCTTTGAAAATTAGTTAGAAAAGTATTGTGAAATTTTTTTAGTGAAACAGAATATTTTAAACCCATTATGGCGCAACTTTACAAGTTGGGGAACAAAAAGAAAAAATTTTTGAGAATGTTAAAAAGTAAATATAATTAAAAATAATTAGTCCAATTGAGAGCTTGTAAAAAAGTTAAGTGATTTTAGTACAAAAGAAGGACGAGGGAAGCAGACTGTGTATCGACTATAGGAGAATGAACGGTGTTACAGTAAAGGATGCACACCCAATACTTAAAGTTGATGAATTTCTAGATGCATTAGAGGGAACAATTTATTTTACGAAACTAGATTTTGAATCATGATACCATCAAATTGGCATATGTCCACATTATATGAAAAGCGGCCTTTGCATGCAGACAAGGCTTATTCGGGTTTACAAAAATGCCTTTTGGCCTGGTAACGTTTCAAAAAAACAATGAATAATATTTTAAAAAAGATATTTGTTTAAGTTTGTAATAGATTATATGGATGACATAGTGATATATAATAAATGGCAAATTAACGTAAAAGACATGTGAGTCTAGTTCCAAATAAATTAAAGATAGTTGGCTATGGCATTCTTTAAATGTCTTTTAACACACATTCATAGATGTGTCAATGAAGGTCCTGCTGTAACAGGTTGATAATCGCTTTTGGGCTTTGTAATTAGACATTAAAGAATTGTTTTTACTGAACATGTTTTATATATAAAATTTCTTTAAATAGCTTTACTGATTTAAATTCATCAATTATTTTATAAACGTCTAGTCATTATTATGCGCTAATGACTTTTTATATAACTAATCTAATATTAAAATTAATTTGTTAATGGTCTTTCGCCATCATGTAGTATTATAATGCAGGCTATAAGCTCAATTCATCAAGGCGTGAATTTAGAATTAAGGATATAAAAATATAAGAAGATGTTACTTCTCATAAAAGAGTTAAGGTAGATGATCGAAGGATTTAAAATATCTTAGAGCCATCTGTGCTAACTAACAAAAAGAAGTTAAATTTTTTTTTGGGACTGTATAATTATTGTTCTGGGATTATTAAAGATAGTGCTAATATAGTAATCCACCGTACAAGCTTATCGGGCTAAAAATTGAAGGAGAAAAAAAATTCTGGAAAAATTGGGCTAAAAATAAGCAATTTTTAAAAGCCATAGATGAGCCAAAAAATGGGGTTAACAGATCAACCTTAGTTAATATCCCAAATATGAGAAACCAATTTATATTGACTACAGATGTATTTAATGAAGGAAATGGTGCAGTTTAACTCAGCTAATTAAAGGAGAAGAGAAAGTAGTGGCATTTTACAGTTGATTGTATAATAAGACGGAAAAAAACTATTCAACAATAGAAAAAGAATTCTTAGCATTTATGAGGACTTTTCAATATTTTAAAAAATATCTTCTTATTGGAAAATTTATATTGAAGATAGATCATCAAACATTAAAGTATCTTTTTAAGTTAAGAAATATTAAAACAATATTTAGCTAGGAAATTATCAATTTACAAGAACATGATTTTGAAATTTAAGACATCTCAGGAAGTTAAACTTTAGTAATTACTTGAGCAGGGATTTTAAGATAGAAGAAATTTATAGTATTAAAGCGAATAAAGAAAATAAAATCAATAAAGTTAAAAGAACTAAGAGGCATGATTTGATAGAGTTCGATCATAATTGGCTAGGCATGTGTAAACTAAATATGAAATCTAATTTAAGTGTTAAGCATCATTGGAAAGAGATGAATTAAGACAATGAAAATTGTGTAAAAATCGTCAAATATGTCAAAAAAAAGCCCGCAAGCCAAATTTAAGATATTATATTCATTATAACAAAAAAATTGGAGGATATATGGTAAATAGATCTTATAAGGTTATTCAGAAAAAACAAGGATGGATTCAAATTTATACTCAAAATGATTTATCATTTTTAAAAACAGCAAAAGTAATCTCTGTCTATACAAAGGATATGAATACAATTGCTTATCTGATTGATACATATATTGTTAAAAGTATGGACTACTCAAGGTAATATTGACTGATAGCAGGAAAGAATTTAAGAATATATTGTGTGAAGAATATGCAAATTAAAAAAGATTCCTATCGAAATTCAGACCACTATATAAACCGACTACAACGGGGCTAGTGATGAGATTAAATAAGACATAGGGTATGAAACTAAACAGAAATCAAAATTTTTAAAATAAAATTAGGCTTAATGTGTCAAAAAGGCAAGAAATGCTTATATGATTTTTTTTACAGAACGATTGGCTGTGCTCCAATTGAATGTATCAAGGGTAGATCGATAAATAATATGAATGAACAAGAAGGAATAGATGTTACAAGATAAAAAGCATTGTTTAATAAAAAGGTAAAGAATAACTTGAAGAAATATACAATAGAATATGATTTACAATCTACAGAAGAAAGCCAATTAAATAAAAAAATTTTCGCGGGAGATAAAGTTTGGTAAAAGTCAATAGTGCTTTAAATAAGCAATTGGATTTGTAGTGGTCAAAAAAGTAAATTGTTACAAGAAAAGATTTAATTCTTACAAAATTTTGTTTGAAGGTAGGAGATAAATTATGGCTAGCAGAAATTTTGTAATTCTTTTTTAGGGGGTGTAGTGTAAAATATGTAAAACTTTTTAAGGACGGGTGTATTGTAAGAATTATTAAAATATATCAATATTCAATAGTACTATTTCTGACATATTTAACATGTTAAGTTTGTAATTTTTTTAATGATTAAACTCGTGTTTCTTCCAATGCTACGCTTTTATAAATGCTTATAGCATACACGTTTGTATCTATTAAAAAGGCAAAACTTCTTTGCATTTAACACAATATTTTTGACAAATATATTCTTCAAATTATTTTTGATTCTTTTTTGAATAATGCATTAAAAAAAAGAGATTACAATTTTAAAAATTTAAGTAAATTACTGTTTCTTTTAAATAAAATATTTGTAAATTGTTATTTTAGGCGTTTTAAAAGTTTTAAAATTGATAAATTAAATGTTTTTTAAATTTTGTTAATACATTTACAAATCAACTATAAATTTGACGAAATTAACGCAAAAAGTAAATAATTTTATTATAAAGGTGTTTTAAAAATTAAATTTATCAAAAATATTTATTAAAAAAATTCTTATTTCTTTTTCACTATAAATTAAAAAGTTTAAATGATGAGACTAATACAAAAATTAACTATTTAATCAATGTTGTTTTAAAAATTAAATTTATCAAAAATATTAATTTAGAAAATAGTTATTTCTTTTTATTATAAATAAAAAGTTTAAAATATCCCCCACATGAAATTAAAAGAAGTACTTTGTAATACAAATATCTTAGTATTATTTTTTGGGTTTAAATTAGCAACAAATGCACAAGAAATCAGCGAATCAGTTAGGGACTTTTTTTGCACTTTTAAAAATGCAAAATTTCGGGAAATGGATGACGTAGAGAAGATTGAAGATTTATACCATCAAGACGTTGGAAAAAGAGGATTGAGAAGAAATGATTTTTTTGTGATGCTAAAATTTCTTAAATATGTGACTCATGTAGAAAAAACTGAATGGGATCAAATAACTGAGAAATATTGTTGCTCAAAAAAAATAAATGATCCAGAAGAGGTGGAATTATTGAAGAAACAGAATTTAAAATTTTTTAAAATGCTTAAAAAATTTAAGGAAAATTTATTCGACAATCTCAATTTCAAACTTTACCTTGAAAAAACCAAACTATTTGATTTTATTAGTCAAAGCGACTTTAATGTTGAAGTTAATGAATATCCTGAATGGAATGAATTGGATGAGTTGCGTGCATGTGATCGATATTATAAAGTTGATGAAGACGATGAAAGTAATGTATGTGAAAATAGTGGTGAGAATAGAGAAGTTAATGAAAAAGATAAATATAATGAATTTGTTACACTTTATAATTTATCTGTATCCCAAGTTTTATTACTAGAAAAGTATTATCATTTATGGTTTTTGGTTAATAAAAATATAGTGAGCAAAAAAAAACTAGAATTACATTGCTTCACTACATTGCAGAAATATGCTGGTATAACACCGAATAATTCCAAATATTCGCTTTTAAGTGTAATACTAATTAAGTGTTTCGAAATAATGGAATCAGAAGATTAACTAATAAAAATATTTTATTTTAATATTACAAATATAAAAAGAATCTCATTCTTACATTATTTTACTTTATACTTTCAATTACACTTGTAGGAACAATGAGACGTGCCAACGTTTATTAAATTAATTCTAATATATTTGACGTGTTAAATTATTATTTTTATAAAATAATTATATCCATATATTGTTCCAACATTTGGTGACGAACAATAAAGTTGTTTTTATTTTCAGAAATAAGGAAAAGGATGACATACAACAGTTCGTGAAGGAGTTGTTGAAGATAAGAAGGTTAAATGAATACAGCGAGGGAAAGTTGTTATTAACATTTAAATTGTCTTTTAGGAAAGATGTTAAAGATTAAATGATAGCTCAGCCTGTTGGTCTATAGCTGAATGAACTACTGGTGAGATTTGAGGTGAGATTTTAAGCAAAATTATGCCTAAAATAAGTTTAGAAAAGCTGGCAGCTCTTAATTATGCTATGCCGGTATTGACACCAAACCAGTTGAATATAATGGCAGCGTTGGCACGCAAGGGAAATGTTTTAGAGCAAGTGTTAATAGCCTTTGCACAACATGGACTGCTGAATAAACTGACAAATATCGTGCTTATTTAGAACGTATACTAGATTAAGATGTAATCTAGTTAAGTGGTCATCGCGCATGGCAACTTCTAACAGAATCCCAATGGTTTATAGAAGTAAATGCTTCCTGTGTGAGGGGCCACTAGAAGACTTAGAACATTGTTTGATAGAGTGTGCTCTCTTAGGTGAGACCAGAAACCATTATGCAGAGAAACTGTCAGTCTTACAATGTTCAA